CGAGATAAGCCAGGCTGTAGCTCACAAGAGAAGGGCTGGATGCAGAGGCTCTGTCAGCCCAGATTCACACCATGCTAGACTTTCCGTCTCCGGCAGACGTTCTCTGCGCCTGGCTCCCACGGAAGGTGTGCTCCTTGTCACCTCTCGTGGTGCTCAGAGGCTTTGTCTGACCAAACCCGACAACCTCCTCTGTCCCACTCCGCAGTCCCGTGTGGCCACCTCTGCCAACAGGCAGCCGGTGAGGAAACGTCTTATAAAGCACGCCGGCGCCCTCTCCCTGGCCTTTGCTTTTCCTTTCCTTTGGGGTGCCGGGATGAACCCGGGGCCTTGCGCACGTTTGGCACCAGCCACACCTCCAGGCCTCCTCTCCGCGCCTGCAAGGGCAGCCTGGGGCTGAGGTCCCGGGGGTGAGGCTCACTTCGAATAGAAGCCCCTTTCGAACGTGCACACATTGCACCACAGAAAACGGGCGGACGTGGGACGGAGTCCGGGTCTTAGCCTTCAGCTTCCTCCTCACTGGCTGCATCACCTGGCCTCCTTGTGAGTCAGCAGGTGGTGGTGAGAAATGAAAGGAGGAGGTCCGAAAGTGCCAGCGCAGCACCTGAGCGTCACAGGGTTCCGGAAGGGCTGGTTTCCTCCTCTGATCCCAGAACAACGACTTCCAACTGCCGCATACCGAGGAATAATCCCAAAGCTAAACGCACTTGAAGCTAAAGGCACATGAGGGTGTGTGCTGCTGCTGCTGCTGTTTAGCAGCTCCTGCTGCACTGGAGAGGAACAGAAGTCTCCGGAGCCGGGGGAGCTGGCTAAGAAAGGAGGGGACAGGGCAGAAGGGAAATGAGGAAAGGCCTTTTCAGATGAAGAAGTACAAACACCAAATAAATACATGAAAAAAAGTTCAACATCACTGGTCATTCAAGAGATGCAAATTGAAACAACACTGAGATTCCATCTCACCCTAGAAAGAACGGCTGTTATCAAGAAGCCAACCAATAACAAATGCTGGAGGTGCTGTGGGGAAAAGGGACCTTTCTCCACTGTTGGTGGGAGTGTAGACTGGTGCAACCACTGTGGAAATCAGTGTGAAGATTCCTCAAAAACTAGTATTAGAGGTCTCATTTGACCCAGCTATTCCCCTACTTGGTATCTTCTCAAAGGAGTTAAAAACATCATACCACAGGAATATATGCACATCCATATACAGCAGCACAGTGTGTAATAGCTAAATCTTGGAAACAACCCCAAAGTCCACCAACCAATGAATGGATAAAAAGATATATATTTTTTCCATATATAATTGACTACTACTTAGCCATAAAGAAGGATAAACTTAAGACATTTGTAGCTAAATGGATGGTGTGAGGTTGGAATAGGGCCTGACTCTCCCAGCCCCCAACCTACTTTCCAGCAAGACACTATTTTCAGCAGGGAACTCAGCTCAACACCATGGCTATCATCAGCAAACACAAGACATTGTAAAGGAGATAAGATAGGACAAGGAATTTTGCATCTGGAACCACCCAAAAATTTACATGGGCCACTTCAAGGATTTTGCCCACTGAGGTGCAAGACTGCCAGAGAACTTTGACCACAGATGTTTATTAAAATCTTCCCGCCTAATGTCCCTTGCCTTCTTTCAATCCCTATAAAAGAGGCCCACTTCCCTTTGTTCCAGACAGACAGCCTTATCACCCTCTGTCTGCCTGAACCCAGGTATTAAACCATATGCTGTGTTGCTTTCACAGAAGCCTGTTGAGTGGTCTCTGCTTCATCCATCCACTCACCCCATGGGTAGTTGTTACAGATGCACCTTGAGACCATACTCTTAAGTGAGATAAATCAGACACACACGTGTAAATATTGTAGTCTTTTTGGTGTGAGAAACTAAAAGTGAGAACTAAGAACCAAAACATATAATAGATATTATGAAATAGGAAGTTTTCAAAAGGAAAGAGGGGAAGAGGGCAAGGAAGGAAGGGAAAAATGAGAAAAGAAAGATAAAGTGGAAACAAAGCTTTGTAAATAGGGAGGGGAAGAGGGATTGAAGGGAGGGAGGAGAGGAAACTCCTCAAAACAAGAGGAATCAGGATGTATCATGTACAGGTGCAAATTCCCTATGATGAACGTGACCGTTATGTGTACCTAAATTGTGCCAGTAATCTTAATTTTAAGAAGCTAAATGTAAGTTAATACGATGAACAAGAGGTAAATGATGCAGGCCAGGAGCGGGGCTAGACGTGTTTTCATATTAATACTCTGACACTCTGCACACTTGGTTCTGAGAGGTACAATGACTAACAAAAGCACGAGTACCAAGCGAACTGTGTTGGCTGGAAAAGGGGGAGATCCGATGGTGACCACCAAATTCCACAAATCTCAGCAGCTGAGGACCGAGGTGTGACTGTAGCTGCTTACACCCGCCACTTAGCTGTAATGAACGGAACCCAAGAATGTTGCGACCTGCAAAGGAAGTCGAAGCAGAGGTGCTGGTGGGGGTGCTGCATGAGCCCCACAGAGAGACTCTTCTGCAGAGTCAGCACCTCCAGGATGTGTTCCTACCTGTCCTGGAGCAGGCTGGGGAGGCTGGAAGGGTGGCGCCTGGGGGCGGCCTGTCTGAGGACCAGGGCACAGGGCGCTGGCTGAGACTGCATCCTCACAGGCAGCTGGAAGTGTCCAGGCTCAGAGTGAGGGCAGCGACAGTCCAGGCTGCCCTCCAAATCTCAGCCGCCTCACCACTCTGCTGCTCCTCAGCTGTAAAGGCTGGGCTTGGATTCTGTGGTTAAGAACCCCTGTAGGAAGGTTCTGGGGGTGTCTGCCAAGCCCAGCCTACCCAGGCACTGAGTTCTTTATAGGAAGGGCTGGGAATGTCCTAGATATCCATGCCCCTGGCCTCTGCCCTCATGTCCACAGGACATTCTTGGTTTGCATCTCCTGCTTTGGAGACAAGAACCTGGGACTCAAGCTGTCACAATCACTCATGCTTTGCATTTGGCGATTCTTCAGTCAACAATGACCTCCCTGCACGCCAGGAAGCTCAGTGGGAGGACAGACCAAGTGACGTTCTTGTGCAGGTTGCCAGAGAACTGGACTAACTACCGGAACAGCTATAGCACATGGTCGTGCCTGCCGGGGCCCCGCCTTCCGTGGCTGCCGGTGGAGATCACAGGGGTGTTCTCTGAGAGCAGTCTGCGGTATGTGTCGGCAGACTTACCACCCTCCTGCCCTTGGCTTGGGAATTCTGCCTTCTGAAGTCATCACAGGAAATCACAGCTTCTGGCAAAGATGTTAGGGGAAGGGTGAATCATAGGAGAATTATTTTCTGGTGCCCATCAGTGGTCCTATCAGAGGGAGCCTGCATTCTGCATTATCTGCTGAGCTGGAGACGAACCCAGGGCCCGGAGCTCACTAGGCAAACTCCTGGCTGCCACGCCTTACCCACTGCCTTTCCAAGGCCCCCCCATCTGTTTCCTTCAAGGCACTCAACTAGATGTGATGGAACTCATTTAAAAATGTAGTGCTGAACAGACTAAACAGACCCTGCGGTATCTTTCAGTTTGCGGCGTGGAAAGGGGATTCTTTTTCCCTTTCAAGACAGGCCACCAGTGAACTTATGGTGAGTTTGCCTTGCACTGTATCTGGCTCTTGGTCGACCTTTTCTCCTCTGGGAGAAGGGCCAGCCTCTCTGCAGGTGTAAGCACAGTGGGTGGGAAAGGGGAAGCCAGCACTTCCGGGAGCCCCGCGGTGGCTCAGGGGTTATGCTGGGCACTCCATAAGCTCTGTCCTCCTGGGCTCAGAAGGGACTCAGGCCACCGAGCTCGCATGGGCACAGCAGGAGACTTCCCTGGCAAGAGGAAGGACTGTTTGCTGCTCTAAGTAGGCAGAGGGGTAGATACCTGGAAGGCGCTCTGAACTCCCAAGTCCCCAGCCAGAAGGGCCACTGCGCTTACAGATGAGCTCTTGGGGCGAGTTTTCCGTGTGCTGAGAACGGAGCACTCCAGAAGCAATATGGGTGTGTGGTTTTCCAGATAATCAGTCATCTGTTCCAACACCATTTATTTCATGTGTGAAATCCCCTTATGCTAACACAGTTACTACGTCTACTTACGTTTGCTTCCAAATTTGCAGTTCTGGTCCTTCCTTCTAGATCTTCCCGGAATAACTAACCATTTGCTTTGTCATTACAGATTCATGATGTTACATAAAGTATCACTCTGTAGTTATAGCTTTCTGTATATTTATTGGAACAGATGAAATTTAAATCTAGAGCCATGCCACAAAAGCACCCCGTCTGGATTTTGACTGGGACCACATTAAACGCTTTCTGGCAAATCCGGAATGTTTGCATCTGCACGTAATTGCCTTCACCTGGAAGTGTGGAAGACACCTGTTTATTTGTTCCCGTCTTCTTAACGTTGGTAATGAGCACGACTTTTACGGTACGGCGGGGAGCCCGACAACTTAAAGGTTTCTCAACCAACACGTGACACGTTGATAAGGGAACTGTTAAAACGTTCACAGGACGCTGTGGATCGCCCGATCACCTGCCCGCTGACAAACACATTACCAGCCCACTCCTGCTCACACGCACGCCCACGTGCACAGTTGCACACGTATGCCACGTGACCCCACACCTCTGCCCGAGCCATCGCCTCTGCGTGGGCCGCTGCCCCTCCTTCCCTAGCCCTCTGCCCAGGCGTCGCTGTAGCTCTCCAGGCCAGGGTCACCTCTGCCCCCCACGCCTCTGCGCACCGAGGCCAGGCTTTGGGCTCCCGCGCAGCAGAACGCAGTGTGTGGCGCTCAGCAGACCCTCGCCGTGCCGTGTGCAGGGCGGGAGGCTGCCTCCCTCTTCGGTCTCTTCATGCCCCTCCACCTTCTTTGCGCCAGTCTGGCCCACAGGCTGGCGGGCACCGTTCTGCGGTCAGTGTTGTCCTTGGCGATGAGCCTTCCTGAGGGCCTCCAGAGCAGATGTGTCTCCCAACACTCCAGGCTCTGCATGCTTGCTTTCCTTCCAGAACCGCTCCCTTTGCAAAACTCCACTTCAAACAAGAGGAGCACGGGCGGCAGGCTCTGCCCTCCCAGGCCCCGCCCTCTCCGCAGGTGCCCAGCGAGGGTCCTTTGTCTGGAGGGGCCAGGCCCGGGCAGTGTGGGCCCATCCAAATATTAACTGTGGACACTTTCCTACTTTGAAAACACGAGACGCTCTGTACTCAGAGCCCTGCCCTCCAGAGAATGCAATCACTTCTGTTTTTCTTTTTTTCTCGAGGACTGAGCTTGACCCTGGCGGTTGCCTATCTTCACACTGCCCACGGTTTCAGAAAGTCAGTGCTCAGGGCTGCTAGCTGTGGGCGGGCAATGCTTGCTTGCCCTGCGCTTTGCTGCCCGGCTGCCTGGCGGCAGCGGGAGATAGGGGAACGCAGGAGGCACCGCCTGAATTTATGGTAAGTTTGCCTACAGGGGACCCAAGGGGGCGGGAGCCTCAGGAACGGGATTCCACCTCCAGGGGAAAGTTGCCCTAAACTGCTGTTCAGTGCTCTACCTCCTGCACCTGGTGTTAGGATGGTTCCAAGAGGCACCTATACTTTGTGACCAAAATCAATATTTTTGCTGTCACTATCTGATCACACAACGAAGGTAAATTTATCAAATTAGAAAAATGTTGCACAAGGAGGCAGACTTGAATCATGAGTTTTTTCCAAAGTGGATCCAGCCAAAGCAGACTGTGGCTTGTCAGGTCTCATGATCATTTTCTCAGAGTGGATTCTAATGCCAGTCGACCGGTGTGTCAAGAAAAGCCAGTTCACACCCGGTGTAGTCCCCGTCTCAGCATCTCTGTGTGCGGATTTCGGAGGGCAGGGCCCTGCCGGCGTGCGGCTCCCCCACCGGTCTCCACCATGAGCCAGGCCGCCTCTTCCCAGTGAAGCATCACGGAGACAAGCAGCACAGCCCAGCAGGGGGAACAACCCGCTGTCACTTACCAGGGGGTGGACAGGTAAAACGCGGCGTGGCTGTACAGCGGAAAGAGCACAGGTACTGACTGCAGCGATGAGGGGCCTTGGGAACGCTAAGGGAGCCCGTCCCAGGCGAGTCCTGCACGGCTGCATTTACACCAGCAGCCGCACCCCAGAGACCGGAAGAAGAGTGGTGGTCTCCCGAGGCCGGGAGAGAGACCGGGAGAGGGGTTTCCTCGAGGAGCGATAAAATTGTTCTGCAGTTGGTTGTGGCGCTGGTTGTGTGACTGTGTGCGTATACTAACACCCTCCGAAACGAACACTTCAGGTGGGGAACTGTGCGTGATGTGATCCAAATTGCAGTAAAACCGGGTTTTAAAAAAACCGTACAGCCCCCACGATAGATACAAATGCACGTGAAACCATTCCACTGAACGAAGAGCTGATCAGTGGCTACTTTTCAATTTTTGGTTTGTGGAAAAGTAAATATCTTACTTTTTCATCCAAATATCATTTGGTCAGAAATATGAGTGCTAGATATGGCTAAGGCCCAAAATAAGAAGGCACAAATAAATCCAGATATGCCAGTCACGGCCATAAATACAAGTGGACGCTCTCGGGTTGGAGGCAGAGATTCCAGCCTCCCCGCACGCAGGCTCTGGTCCTTTTACTTTCCCCTTTGTACTTCTAGCCCCGAGCGAGCTCAGCGCCGGTGCAGACTTCTGCATCCAAGTTTCCATTCACATCCCTGTTTGGAAGAAGGGCAAGCGGCTCTGACCTCGAGCGGCCAGCACAGAATTCCTAATTTCTTCTCCAAGCAGCTCCCTCCTCCCCCAGGCTTCCTCTCCCCGTCAGCTCAGCTGCTCGGGCCAGAACCCCAGGAGCCTTGAGTTCTCTCTCTTTTCTTCCCACAGTTCTGCCACAACCAGCGCATCCGCGAGTGCTGTCGTTTTCGCTCTGAAACGATTTGTGCTTTATCCATCTCTCCCCTCTCTGTAAAGTCCAGGTCCCAACGGTTTTCTCTCACGGATCCTTCCACAGTCACATTCAGAGTCTCTCTTACTCCTCTACCAGCTCCTCAGAAGACAGGATTCTTTTCTTTTGGCACCGGGAATTGAACTTGTGAACTTGTGCTTGCCAGGCAGGTACTGTGCTGCTGAGCTATATCCCCAGCTGAAATTTTATATATTATAATATTATACACTCTACATTTAGAGTTTAAATATACTATATAGTTTATAGTTTAAAATAAAATAACCACCAGGCGTGGTGGCACACAGCTGTAATCCCAGCACTCAGAAAGCTGAGGCAGGAGGACTGTTGCAAGTTTGAGGCTAGCCTGGGCTACAAAGTGAGCTCAAGGACAGCCTGAACTGCATAACGAGACCCTGTTTCAAAAAGACAATAAATAAATAAATAAATAAATAAATAAAATAAAATAACCCTTGCAAATCCCTAAGGGATTAGCATACATTGCTACAAACATTAAATCAGTTATGTTACCACCCTGTTTGAAGCCCCTCTAGGCTTACCTTAAACTTTAAATCCTAACTTCCCCTAACTTCTTTCTTCCCCATATTCCTTCTGTGTGCTTGTGTCCCTGCATCACTGGATTCCACCACAGTGACTTCCTTTCTGCTCTGAGACTGTGCCCCAGGGTCTTTGCACTCATGGCTCTAGGTCTGGAGAGCTGGCTCCTTGTGTGATTCAGGGCCCAGTTCAAATGCGGCCTTCCCAAAGAGGCCTGCCCCACCGCCTTAAGAGTGTTTCCACATGAGTCCTGTTTCATTTCCTTCCAAGTGCTTATCACCATTCAAAGGTAGTTAATTTATTTTGTTTATTTTCTGTCTCCTTCCTAAAAACTCCATGAGAACAGAGGCTTGTTTGTCTGGTTATTCCCAGGTGTACCCTCAATGTCTAGGACATAGTCGGTGCTCGGCAAGCATTTGTTGAGTAAATATGCAAACCAATACATCTGAACGAAGCTGTAAATACTGCCTTGTGGTTAACACCCCCTTGTTTACAGTTTTCTTGAGTTCTTTGTTTTGATCCCAGAAACTCTGTAAACCTTAGAGGCAGCATGTTCGTCCCGCAGCCCCACACCTAGCTGGGTCTGGAGCCTTACAGATAATTGCAGGTTTGGAGCTGAACCCCACACATCTCACTCCTGAGGGAGGCGGGCAGATGAGTCACTCTTTCTTTCAGAAGGGGCTGCTAGGAAGTCTGCCCAGCCCCAAGCATTTCCCCCCTGATTCCTCTAATGAATTTATCCAGACTGTAAGATCCTGGATCATTTTGTGTGTTTTCCCAGGGGCGATTGAGGCCTCACACGTCACCCTTGTATGTTCATGCCTGCTTGAACCACAGGTGGTTTTGGGGCCCTCAGACAACCTCACACTGCCCAGCCAGCTCTCACCACCCTGCTCAGGGCCCGAGCCTCCTTGCCTCCTCTGTGAATTCACTTCTGCAGGAGCACCCACCACATGCAAAGGCCAGGCTACACGCTGGAAACGAGGCCGCAGTGATCTCGGACTTCCGCGCACACATCGATTACCTGGGGCGTTGCTGTAATATCAGCTCCTGGGTTCAAGCGATGGCTTGGTAAGTTTCAGGCAAGACCTGGATTTGTACCTTTTCACTTGTGCCACATCAAGCCTGGGAGGTCTGCCAGTCACCCTCAGGAAGACCCTAGGAACTGGCCGGCATTTGCCGGGGACACGCAGCTCCTCTTCTCGGGGCCCAAAGGAGCAAAACATCTGAACTGGTGCCCAGCGAGTCTCCGTGGGGACATCAGTCCCTCTCCCCAACCCCACCGTTTAGAAAAAGATTCCACTCTGCCTAGCTAACGATTTATTAAAAATTTACATTGCTACATCTTACTCTTTTAACACTTTTTTTTTAAGGAGCAATTTTAGATTTACAGAAAAATTGATGAGAAAGTGCAGGGAGCTCTTCCACACACTTCTGCTTCTCTCCTTGTTAGCGCCTTGAGTGAGTGCGGCGCCTTTGGGGGATGGAGATGCCGGTCGCTCCTCATGCCCTCAGTTTCCACGAGGGGCCACATACATGTTGCATGTTCTATATGTTGGACAGGGGCATGATGACACGCGTCCACTTCATTGCATCACGCGGAAGAGTTTCATCGCCCTCAGAATCCCTAGGGCTCCCCTATCTACCCATCCTCCCCTCCCTCTTCCTCCCTCCCACAAAGAGTATTTTTCATTTTAACAGATGCCTACAGAGGACCAAAACCAGCCTCATTATTCATGTTTTGGTTTTTATAAACATCTTTCATCTGAACTTGATATAATTTATTGGATTGCTACAACCAGCACATCAGCACCTGGAAGTCACCTGCAGGAGCCCCTGGCCATCGTTGGGCGCATTCCAGAGCTGCTCTGGCCCGCGCTGCGCGTCTTCCCTGAACACCCTGCGGCCCTCACACATCGGCGGCAGGTGCGCACGCAGCCGGGAGGGGAAGCTCCGTGGAGCGGGTGTGGGGTCTTCTTAAAGTTCAGGGCGGCTGACAGCTGGGGCTGTCTCTCTATAGAGTCCCAGAGAGTTATATTCCGAACACACAAGCGTAAATATTTCATGTTGTATGAAAAACCCAAAATATAAACCATTTAAAGAGCAACATAAAAATAGCATGAAATAGGAAGCTAGAGCCTTTGAATGGGGAGATCTAGAGGTAGAGGGAAGGGAAGGAGACGTAAAGAATTAGCCTGTGCTGCGTACGGGCACCAACCCCCCACGGTGAGTGCAAGTAGACTCAGCAAACACACAGCGTGTGGAAAATCATTCTACTCCCAGCTGTAACCTAAAGCCCAAGTCCAGGGCGCAGCAAAACCCTCCCCAAACGCCTGGCTGCAAGTAGGTCAGGGAGCTGCCCGTCTCCGTGGGTGCCGGGCCTGCAGAGCAGTGCGGGAAGGGACAGCAGCTTCGTCTCCTGCACTCACCCAATGCCCTCGTGTGGAAGGGGTCTCTCCCCCACAGGCTCCAGTGCTGGAGGCTTGGTCCTTGGTAAGACCTTGGAGAGGCGGGGCCTAGAGCGAGCGACTGGGCCCCTGGGGGTGCTGACCTTGGGAGGGACCAATGCCTTTCATTCGTTCCCGGGAGAGCAGGTTGTGAGAAAGGTGAGGCCTGGCACTGAGTGCCTCTGCTCTCCCGCCTCACCGCATGACCCCGACCTGCTCTCACTGTGATGCCCCCACCGTGCTGTGACACGGCCGGAGGCCCTCACCAGAGTGGTGCAAGGCCCTTTCAGCCTCTAAAACTGTGAGCTGAGTAAACCTCTTTTCTTGATGCATTACCCAGCCTCAGGTATTTTGTTATGTACTAAAAGGACTGAGACACCCCTCCCTGCACTGTCCATTTCTGCTTCTAGTCACCCCAGTAAGAAATTTGCAGGAGTCCCAACCCTCCAGCCTTCTACGACCCATTTTTATGACCAGAGTTATGAGACATGTGAGTTTTCTGTGTCTCTAGATGAAGAAAACAACCAAATCTACCACGCGGTTGCTGTGGACATTAATTATCTGCAAGGGAGCAGAAGGGTGTGACCATGCAGTTCCCGTTCGTGCTGATATTTTGAAACCTGTGTGTACGTTTAATTCCTTTTTAAAACAAAAGAAAGGCTACACAAAGAGTAATAAATCAGCCGGAGGGAAATTGGGGGCGTTTTTTCACACGGACGTGGGTTTTAGCATCTGCTGCATCCTCTGCGTCCTCCACCGAGGCCTCCACGTTTCTTCACCCCTCAGATCATCCTCTCCGCCACCCTGCCAAGGCACACTGTGACCAGGGACAGCCCTGCCCAAACGGGGGCACTGCCACCTCCTCCTCCCCATGGGAAGTGTTCCCCAGGGCCAGTTCTGGGGCCTCCTGCCCGGGCATCGTTCTGGTGGTGGCAGGGTGAGCAGCAGGCTCTGGCCCAGGGGAAGTGGCCAGGTCGCCAGCGACCACTCACTAAAACAGCAGAGAGCACAGGGCAAATCCACTGGCCCTCAAGTCCCTCAAAATGCTGAGGTGAGCCGGGCCTTCCAGGAAGAAACGGTTCTGGCATGTGCTTGAGGGGAGCAGGGAGGAGTCCAAATGCAGCCTTTGGCTACGGTAGGGGGCCGGCTGTGATCTGCAATCCCGCCCGCCCCCACGGGGGCCGTGCCCTCTCCTGAGGCATCAGCCGTCCCAGGATTCTCAGAACCCCGTCTGGGTAGCTGAGCAGGAGCTCAGGTGTGGGGGCGCTTGTCTCACAGGTGGAGAGAGGATGATCAGAGAACTGCAAGCTCGGGGTTTGCTTGAGTCACTCATCAACCTTCACATCACAGTACTGTGAAACCACCTGAGAGATCACGAAGTGCTGAGAGGCGCATGCCCTGTCCCAGCCCTGTGACCTCCCCTCTGCCCTCGGAGCGAGGGCACCAGCCCTTCGTCCCACCCACCTGTGCCTTGTTACTAAAGGCCGCCAGGAAACCAGGCCTGACTGCAACTGGAAAAGGTGCTAAGGATGCACGTCCTCACCTCGCCCTCAGAACACCGTTTTCACCAGGAACATGGATTTTACCTTGTTTTTTGTTTGTTTGTGTGTTTGTTTTTCCAGTACCTGGAATCGAACTCACGACCTCGCGCTTGCCAGGTAGGCACAGTGCCGCTGAGCTAAACTCCCAGCCCTGTTACCTTGTTTTTGAATAAAAGCTTTACTGGGCTACATGAGCATTTTGCTTATGAAACGTATCCTTTACAGTTTACAGCTCCGAGTTTTCATTATATTCAGAGTCGTGCAACCGTCACCACCCATTTCAGAACATTTCCTCACTGACTCGGAAACCCTTTCCATGCCACTGTCCCTTCCCCACCCCCCGGCAGCCTCTAATCTATGTCCCGCCTCTGCAGACCCATTCGTCCTGGACATGGAGCCACACTGGATGTGTGCCGTAGCCTCTGGCTTCCTTCACTCAGTGTGAGTCTCGGTTCACCCACAGAGCCCCGTGGAGCTGCGCTGCACAGCCATCTGAAGCTGAGCGCTACCACCCTGCGTGACGACTGCCCTGGGTGCATCCGTTGGTCAGTTGATGGACACTGGTGTTGTTTCTATTTTTTTGTTATTAGGAATTGTACTGCTATGATACCCATGCACATATTTTTATGTGGATGTGTGCCTTCCCTTTTCTGGGGTGCGCAGAGGAGTGGAATTGCTGAGCCAGGTTATTTATTTATTTGTTTATTGGTCCTGGGGCTTGAATCCAGAGTCTATGCGCTGAGCTACATCACCACCCTCTTAACACATGTTTTGTTTTGTTTTCAGATAGGATCTTGCTAAGTTACTAAGTTGCCCAGGCTGGGCTCAAACTTGTGCAGTGTCTTTTTTTCAAATGAGAGGAATCTGCATGTGTCACTGCTGTCAGGTGCGTAATCACGGCCAAATATCCTGGGAATGTGACCCCGTCTCTCCCGGGATGATTTGGATGACAGGCTGTGCATGTTACTGCACACTCCCTGCATGCCAGACTCCTCTATACCCTAGGGCAGCGTCTGTGAACAAGCAGAAGCCTCCAGCCGCAGCCACTCCTACTCTGTGTCCCCCTCAGCACTCTGCTCCCCTCCCCTGCCTTGGTCAGGTCCCTGGCATCACAGACGTCTTCTGACGCATCACCTGCCTCCACTTTTGCTCCCTTTAGCTCATCCAGACAGCAGCATGGCCTATCTAAAGCCCCAGCTGACACAGCACGTCTCCCTGCTTCCTTAACCCCCAAAGCAGGGCCTCGTTACCATGAGCTGAAGCCGGCACTCACTGGGCCCACCGGCCAGGAGAGATGCAGCCCCTTCTTACTTCTCCAGAGAAACGAGAGCCCAGCAGCTCCTGAATGTGATCCCCACCTGCATGGAGCAACCTTTAGCTCTTCACCAACTCCTGGCGGTGTCATGGCTCCAGGAATCCCTTTCCTTTCAAGTATCCAACTGCACATCCTGGGCCTGCGAGCAGCAGACACTGGGATTGGGTGGTAAGAACGTGGACAGAATTCCTTCTCACTGCCTTTCTTCCAGGGCCAGCAATTAGTCCGTCAAGGCTACCTGCCTCTGGAAACATCCATGAACTGACACGTTCCCTCTGGGCTTGGACCATTGCAGGAAGAAGTGACAGAGAGGCAGATGAGCCCTTGTGATCGGGGAGCAGCTGGAGCCGGGCTCGGGTTCTGCCTCAGCCTGGGACAAACAGATTTTAGCAAGCTGTGCGGCTCATCTGCAGACCACATGTGGGGGAGCAGGGCATGGAGGAGCGGTTCGTGTGCACAGGGTGCAGCACACTCCTTGGTCCCCTCAGGAAGCTCCTGCAAAGCTCACACTTGATTTTACCGCTGCCTGAGGGTGTTACTAGTAACCTTCCCAGGGGCTTTGCCACGTGGTGTTACGGTTTGTACACACACGCCTTCTCCTCGAGTCTAGAGAAAGCAGTAACTATTTACTGTTAACTCTGGAATCCCTCCTTCTTCGCACTTACCTGAAAATAAATGATTGGCCTTTCCTCACTGATTACCTTAATTACACTCACGAGGCTGAGATCAGGGCTCTGCTCAGCAGCTTGGTGTCTCCCTAGTAACAGGCAGGACGGTCCAGGCATAGACAAGGAAAGCGTGGCTCACAGATGCGCCACGCTGGGGTGGCCGAGGTGACCACAAACTGACCTGCTCACCAAGTGGTCTTTGTTCACCATGGCCCCCACCCTGCCACTGGGCCCCTGAGCCCCCAGACCTCCCGCCTCCCTGACCAAGTGCTCATGGGCCTAGCCGCCCATTCCTACAGGAGCTCGGCACCCCGCCGACCCCGGGAAGCTGGCTCTGGGAAGGACGGCACTTCCCGCGTTACCGATGGCCCAGTGAAGTCTCTGCTGCTGGGCTGAGCCCCACTTCACGACAGAGTCAGAAGTTGTCCATCACCTCTGGATGTGTGAGTCACGCAGAGCACAGCGCCACTGCGGGCCACGGAACAGGAACTAAAGAGACGCCTTCTAAAATACTTGCATGGTTTGTGCCTGGATGTCCCTCAAACCTCACAAGGTCAGAGAGTTTTTCGGAGGTGGCTGAGTCTAGAGTGTGTGATTGATTTGTGGTGCAATGCTGGGATTAAGGGTGGGTGACTGCTGGATCAGTCCACTGACTGGATTGATACCACCCTAATCCTGGTAGGCTGGATACAATGTAAGGCGCAGAAAGAGGCTGGTCTTTCCTTTCTGCTCTTGTTGATTTTGCTGCCTGCCCCTGTGAACTGTTGCCCTCTGCCATGCCACCCTGCCTTGGAGCCAGCCCACTAGGACTGAAACCTCCACAAACCCTGAGCTAAATAAGCCTTCCTCCTTTAACATTCGGTACTGGGTATTTTGTGTCAGCAATGAGAAAAGTAGCTAAGACAAGTACTAGGGCAGGCAGGCTGGCAGCTACCACTCTGACCCTGAGATGGAGAGTTCTGTTTGGTGAGATAATGTAGATTTTCCCATACAGAAAGCCACTGTTTACAACAAAGAAATAGGGAAAAACTGAGTTATAAAAAATTAAAATGCTATTTGCACCTATCTTTCTCTCCACGATCCAGCTCTGCTAACAAGCAGCTTTGGACACCTGGCCCCTTCTGTCCAGGCATTTGTTTTGCTGTTTGGCTGTCAACACACATGAGTGTATGTGTGTGTGTGTGTGCATATGTTTTGCTGTTATTGTTTTGGTTTTTGCAGTACCGGGGATTGCACCCAGGAGCTTTGCCCTGAGCTACATTCCCAGATCCTACCCCCTTTTAAAATTCTAAAATAGAGTCCAACTAAGTTGCACAGGCTGCGTTGGAACTTGCCAGCTCCTGCCTCAGCCTCCCAGGGTGCTGGGATTGCAGATGTGACCCACCCATCTGTTTCACTTTACATGCTTCACATGTGAGAGACGTGGAGACACTGTTCCTGACTACAGCCCCTTCACCCTCAGGGGTAGCAATGGACCCCAAGGAGTGACCAATTCTTCAGTCTCTAGACACACCACTGACGGGGGTAGGAACAAGGTGCTGCAGGGCCCAGGGTTGTGGGGGAATGATTCAGCCCACGACACCAGGAAGGCTCTGAGGAGCCGCAGTGTTTGAGCTGCGTCTTGGGCTGGTGAACACGGAGGAGCACCCTCCAGGTGAGGGCAGGCATCTCTGTCCCCCAAGCCAGGTGGGTGTCAGGTGTAGGTAAACTGTGAGGGGGCACCGTGGAGGCGGATGGAGAAGAGGCCGGGGTGCTGCGGAGGAGCAGGGCAGGCCGTGAACAGAGAGCTGGAGGGACGGACGCTGTGCAGGGACAGGGCAGGGCAGGGGCTGCTGCAATAGTCCAGGCCAGGAGCCTTCCTGACGCTCCGACTCGGGGAGCGCCTGCATCAAGGAGACTTCAGTGCATGGTTCAGTTCCACAAAAACCAGGACCCCCCTGTGTGTGAAGTGGGACACCACACAGGACCCGCCAAGTGTTTAGAGACAGCACTCTCTCCGTGCTGCAGAGTGGCCTCTGAAGGGACGCGGCGTCCTCTCCAGACATCCGAGGTTGAGGCTGCTGCTGCCGGCCTGCCGGCTGTGCCAAACACAGCCACGTACCTGTAAGACATAATGACTGACAGGAATCCATTTCTCCACTGATCGTTCGATAAGATGCGGAAGATAAGGCTAATCATCAGGAGCTTGCTCTCTGTCCCTCCCGGGAGGCGTCTTTGTGATAACCTGTCTCTGCACTGAGCCAACGATGGGAAAGTCCGAGTGGGAGACTTGTCCTGCAGATTCCGCAGGAGCCGTCCGGGCGTGCGGGGGCTGCAGCCAGCACTGTCCGGACTCGGCCCCCACTGCGACTGCAGTGAGCAGCTGTCACAGTAAGAGCAGGGGCGAGGGCCTCGTCTGCAACTTCATTTTTCCCAAGAGCGATGGCAGTGCTGGAGCGGAGTGCGGCTGGGACAGCGAGAGTTGCAGAAAACGAACCCACCTTGTGGCAGTTTTAGCAGAGTGACATTTATCACAGGACTCTCGACAGCTGGTAGGTTGAGCATCCCCTGTCCAGAATACTGGGGCCCAGAAGTGTGTCAAAATTTGATTTTTTTTTTTCATATTTTGGAATATTTACAGATACATAGTGAGATATCTTACGGATGGGACCCAACTTTAAATGTGAAATTCATCCATTCCGTGGATATACAGCCTGGAGGCAATTCTATGCTGTATCTCTCATGCACCTGGCTTTTGACCGCAGCCCTCACCTGAGGTCAGGGGTGGAATTTTCCGCCTGAGGTGTCACGTTGGTGCTTGAAAAGTTCCAGATTTTAGAGCACTTAGGATTCAGAGTTCTGGGTTAGAGATGCTCCACCTATATTACACAAGGATTGAAGAAACAGAGCCAAGTCCAGAAATTACTCCCAAAGCCACACCTCAGAGCCAGGCCACCGGGAAAGCTGCTGCCTCTCCCAGGTGTGCAGACACGCAGCACGCACTCCGGATCCGCCTCACCTCTGCGTTATCTGGACAGAAGCCTCAGCTTCTCTGCTGGCTCCCAGAACTAACCCCAGCTGCTGCAGCCTGTGTCCCACGGACGCCCTGAGTCCACCTCTCACTCCCTCCTGCTGGTCAGGTCCAGTGTTCTGCTCCCGGGGGCCTCCAAGGTCTGTCCAAGGTGTCGAGTTAGCGGAAGTCAGTCACACTCAGGTCTGAACTGCAGCAAGCCAGAGAGCAGAGGGCTTCATGTCTGCATTCTGCAGAGCGGGGCGTGAGCACTGCCACCAGGCTACATCTCAGCATGGCCCCTGTGGTCAGGAAGAGGACAGAGACCCTCAGGTTGGCCGTTCCTAGGCCCAGAAGTCACAGGTATCCTGTCCTCCAGAAGCCCTTCCCCTCAGGTGGTCTGCCTGCCACGCACTCAAGCGCCATGCTGACGTCTGTATTCCACTCGCATTCGTGTCTTCCAGGCCCGGCTGACCGCTTGGAAGGGTCCCACCCAGCCTTCGGAGGACAGTGTAAGACTTCCGTGAAAACTTCTGCACTACGCTGTCCTGCCAAGGCCCTGCCTCCCGGAGCACTGGGCCCTCACTACTTCCTCCAAGTCCTTCGCACATCCGTAACCTTAGTGTGTGCGGTCCCTGCTCGCCCTCTAAGTGCCTCCTGAATAGTCTTGAAGCGCCAAGTGGCTCAAGAGTCCTGTGGGAGGAACCGGGACCAGGACTCTCCTTGCATTCCTGACCGTTTTGGAAGTCAGCGTGGAAGACAGAAACACCAGTTAGCAACTATTCCCAGGAAAGTCTGTTTCCTACATTACAAATGGGAAAATAATGTCTGTCCCATCTCTCTGTCTGTCCCTCTCTCTCTCCGGATATAATCTGTGTGTGTGTGTGTGTGTGCGTGTGTGTGCGTGTGTGCGCACGCGCGCGTGTGTGTGTGCGTGTGTCTGCGCGTGTGTGTGCGCGTTGCTGGACTCAGGATCAAAAGAGTTAATACGCGGGAAGAAAACGCTGTGGCTGTTACCGGCTGCTGAGTGAAGCCTGAGTCTGACAACCTGGGGAGCCAGCCCAGCCTCAGGCCCCGGCCTCCCCGCGGGCCCCTCCTGCTCCGTGGAGACTTGCAGGGCCACGTCGCCCAGGCAAACAGCTGAAGCAAAGCAAGCGAAGCATGAAGCATGAAGCCAGGAGACAGACAGCGAACATGTGGTTTGGGCTGGACTGCAGGAGCTAACTAGAGCTGGCGCAGAGGCAAGCTCTCTGCCTACGTGTTTCTCTAAAACAAGCAGAGTTGGGTAAGAGGGCCTTCTTTCAACACGCTGGAGCCAAGCTCTCCCTTTTTTCCTCTTCAGGGAGGTCTGTGAGGCACCAGGAAGGCAGTCAGTCCTGGCAGACATGGTCTTGGCCACTCCCAAAGCAGGACCAGACTGGTGTGTGGATGGTGGGTGCATAGGGGAGAAAGATGAAATTGTTAAGGGGCCTCAGTCATTTCCTTACACCGCTCTTCTCACCCTTGGGACGAAGGGAGAATAGGTGGCCTCGTCTATTTTTATGTTGCTATCACAAAATACCTGAGACCACATACATAGTAAAGAAAAGGTTTAGTTATTTCACAGTTCTGGAGGTTGGAGAGCACGGTGCTACATCTGTTCCCTTCCTGGTAATGTGGGTGGAATAGCATGGCAGGACTGCGTGGGGAAGAATATGTGCGAGACGCAGGGCCTGCGCCACCTGGCCTGGATATAACCAGCCCATTCTTGGGGGCTTCACCCTTGTGACCCATCTGCTTCCACCTCTCAAGACTTCTAGAATGAGACCAAGCCACGTTATGAGTTTTGGTGGCGATAAACCACATCCAAATCACAGCAAAAAGCAAGCAGGATTTTGATGAGGGTTGGACATCTATCTTCAGCATAAACCCAACCACTCAAAATCATTTAGATCTCTACATTTCAACAGAAAATATCTCCCCCAGACAAAGTCAACATGGTGTTGCTTAAGCAGTTACTACCTAAACACACAAAAAAATACCTTTGGGGCACGTAGGTGAGGTCATTGACGTTTGGGATGATTTTGTGTCCAGAGCTGGGTTTTTAGTGCAGGCTAAGAGTACGTGAGATACAAGAAAGAGGGCTCTACTGTCCATCTGCCAATCGCTGATGTATATTCACCAGGATGAAACCGTGTTGCATCATGAATTTGAACTAGAACAGCCAACATTTCTTTAAATCTGTTTGCAGTACTTGTTAACTCCTGCCTTTGCTATGCTTTTTCTCCTCTCTTTGGAAGTGGTGGGCACGGAGCCCAGGGCTGCACGGATGCTGGGCACTACTGCTGAGCCGCACCCCGGCCCTCTACAGAACTCTGCCTGATAGTAAGCCCAGCTGCTGTCCAGACCCTGTGAGCAACTAACTGCAGCAAAATACCATGAAAGATAAGAACGGCTCTGAATATCAAAATCCAAAGTACAGGCAGTAACCAGAGAGTGGCTGTTAATCTTTAGATATTCATTCAAGAAAATGAGCCTGGCTCAGAAAATGATATTTTTTTTTTTTTCCCAGAAAAGTGGTCAAGGGATGCTTCTGAGTGATCCACTCAGTTCTGGGCTATGTAGAGTGTGGTGATTTTTAAGAAGTTCCAGATCCGGAATGTAGGCTGTGGATGCTGATGGAACTTGACACGCAGTGCCCAAACCAGGTAGTTGGAAGGATCACTGCTGGGTCACGAAACTTCATATGGGATTCCAGCCAGGCCACTTGGCTTCAGGGACTGGTGTCAAGGAGAAAAAGGGTTTTCTGCTGAAAGACATTTCCATGCTTCACCTGGGTTACATCCGTCCTTGACTCCCCGGCTGAACTCCTATCCCCACGTGTAGTTTTTTACACTTTACAATCTCAGTACTTTGCAAAGCAGTTGCAGAGAAAGCACCAGTCTTATGGTGGGGACGTGACATATTTTAAATCTTCAGCTATCTAAAGCAGGGAAGGTGTTGTTTCCCTACAACGTAATGAACTAGATGATCCATAACCCAGCGTAGAATGAATATAGTCCTCATGCACTGTTTTGAATGACAAGATATGTTGGAGAAACGTCAAGATTTCTTGATTGTTACACTTTTTCTAGAAAGAGCAATACTTTCTAAAGTGCTAAGATTGTCATAATTGACAGGAATGGGAAAAATGAAATCCAAGTGTAAATTCCCAAGGACTGTTAAAGCCACAGGCTGGAGAAAATATCTGCAGTGTACATTATTTTCCTGGGAACATCTATCTAAAGTACGTAAAGAACAATAAATCTGTGATGAGAAGAAATCTATTAAGAACTAAAATTCTGAAAACAAAATGTCATAGAAGAAGATATATGCATGGCCAAAAGCACATGAAAAGATCTTCAGTGTCATCATCAGAGAAGTTTAAATTAAAGCCACATTAAGATATCTTCACATCCACTAGGATGGCTAAAATTGAAAAGATTCACTACACTGCATCAAGTCCTGACAAAGATCAGAGCAACTGAAACTCCTGCACATTGCTAATACAATATAAAACGGTCCAGCCACATTGAAAAACAGAGTGTTCATTTCTTATAAAGTTGAGCATCAACTTATAATATTGCTATAGTTTGGATCTTGACTATCTCCTGAAAGGCCCATGTGTTGATGACATGGTCCACAGCTGGTGGCACTATTGGAAGGTGGTGGAACCTTGATGGGATGGGCCCTACTGGAAGAACTTAGATCATTTGGGGTCCATGGCTACAGGGGCTCTCAGGACCTTGGTCTTTCTTTCTCTCTTTGTTTCATATGGTGAGCACGTTCTGCTGCCTAGTACTCCTGCCATGATGTTCTGGCTTGCCACAGACCCAAAAGTAACAGATTCCATTGACCATGGACTTAGACCTCTGAAACTGTGAACCAAGGTAAACCTTTCCTCCTTACAAATTGTTTATCTCAGGTAGTTTGTCACAGGGACAAAAAGCTAACACAAAAACAATTCATCAGCTTATATTTCAAGGTAGAAATAAAGACATATTTTCACAAAAAGGCACATACCACTGTTTACCAAAGCTTTATTCACAAAAGCCAAAACTTAGAGAAAAAAAATCCAACAACTGAGTTTTCCCCAAGTGCATGAAAACAACCCACTGTACATGCGCACAATGGAAACAACCTTGTGGATCACTCTCAAGGCATGATGATGAGAGCTAAAGAAGCCAGACACAAAAGAATTTATACTGGATGGCTTTATTTGCATGAAGTTGTAGAGCTGGAAGAATATACCCCTGATGACAAAAATCAGGTAAGTAGTTGCCTGAGGTCGGTGGGTGGGGGTAGAATTCACTGCAGAGAACACAAGTGAACTTCACGAGGTGAGGGAACGTTCCCTACCTGAGGTGGGGTGGTGGTAACAAGAGTGACTACTTTAGGCAAAATCACTGAAGTAGGGCCGAGAGGGGCTCAGTGATAAGTGCTTACCTAGCTTGCATGAAGTCCTGGGTTCAACTCACAGCACTGCAAAAACAAAAACAAAAAACATCACTGAAACACATGTTTAAAACATGTGTATTTCATTGCATGTAAACTAGCTGATTAGCGCATAAGACAAAGACTTCAGCAGAATCAGTCACCTGTGAAAGCTTCTATTTCCTTCAACGTGGCAGGTTTTCATGTGGACAAGAGATGAATTCATTTTGAGATTTAGCTTCTATTATGATATTGATCAAGACTCACGTTTAGCACATTTACCTTGGAATTCAGGAAGTTACACTGTTCAAAAGAGTCAGGAGCCATCCAAAAGTGATCATCTGAAGCGATACTCTTAAGTTTTCCAGGCAGCACTGCTGTGACTTGCAGGAACTGCTGATCTGCCGTAACAGTTCTTCAGAAAAGGGCGATTTACATAGAAGAAAAACTCAGGACATTGTACTACACAGCTTTGTGTATTGAAACGTTCCCCTCAATTTACGTCGTACTTTCTACTTGAAACAAAGCTGTGGAAGCAATCTGCAAATACTGCACGCTGTTGTACACAGGCAAGCGCATCTCCGGCCACACATCGACCTTCGCATCTCTGCCCTTCGCCAGCACCATACGCACACAGGCAGTCAGCCCAGAAAGGCAGCCCAGGCTGTGGGTGATGGTTTTTTATAAAGCCAAACGCATTTCTTCACCCATCCTCCCAAGGCACTCCCAAGGTAAATAGGGCAGGGAGCGTGGACAGGTGACAGAAAGGTAAACAGGCAGGGAGGTTCCGGGGTGGCCGAGGGACGGCTGGGCAGTTCTGTCACTCTGCCGTGCAGCAGTGCCGGTCTCACTCCAGGACAGCTGAGCTTGTGGATTGGGGTCAGCGCTGGCTCCTCTTCTCTCTGGCCACTGCCCACATCCTGAGCCAGCAAACAGGTGGACCAAACACATTCCAATGGACAGACAGGAGGCTCAGTAAATAAAATGTCAGTCAACAGAAAGATAACAGGAGTCAAACCCTCCAGGACAGATGGAAAAGTTCAAATAGAAACAATTCCATTGTTTATCACCCAGTCTGGGCATAACCTGCATCCGTCTACATTGTAAAATGTCTTTGGCAATATGTACCAAGAGTTTTAAAAGTTCTTACATTCTTAATGATTTACACTAAATAGAGATTTACTTAGCTTCATGTACAAAATAGCCCATGCAAAACAATTTGAAACAGTAAAGTATTGCCAGCATCCTAACTGCCCAACAATGCCGCGAACTTTACAGTCTATTTTGGTGAATTACGGAATTACTATTCCTACAAACCTAAGTGTAAGAGCTTCCCTTCTAAACCCCCACCAAACACTGCAATAAAGCACAGG